TGTCAACGCCCTAAACAAACCTAACTTTTGTCTGAAAATCTTTATTTTGTTTTTTGTTAACCAAACTTGTGGTCGATTCTCTTAAAAATGTATTAGAAGACAAAGCAAGCAAAAAATGGTGTTCTAATGAAGAAAAAAATAAAGGCGAAAGTGACGTAAAAATGAAAATTATATTGAATTAGCGTAAAAGTGTTATAATCAACATTGAAAGAAAGTAAGATAAATATTGGTTTAAGGAAAATATACTGAGATAAAGAAAAAGACAGAATTAAAAAGAGGAAAAACAATTGAAAAAAAAAAAAGATTTAAATGAAAGGAGAAAGTATGAAAAACTATTGCCAAGTATAAAGAGGTCGAGAAATGTAAGAAAAAGAGGGACAAATCTAAGAAGAGAGAAGAAAAACAGGGAAGAAATTTCGAAGAAAAAAATAGAGAAAAATTTGCAGTGAATAAATTTTAAAGAATCTAATAGAAAACCGTCGGCCCCAATGTTGATATTTTTCTCTCTTTCCGACCAATTATGTATTAACAACTGAAGAGACCAATTGTTAATAAAGACACCAACATATTAGCCGTCATTGCCTTTTCTTTTAATATTTCTCTTCTACACATTGAAAGGACATTATTTTCAGGTGTATTTATTTATTGTGCCAAACTTCATAATTATGCTAAAATTATCTGGACTTTCTAAAATGTTTAATAATGAGGTATAATTTAGCAATTAAGGAAATTGAGTAACCAGTTTATTATTCAATTAATCAATAAATATGTGAAAAAAAAGGAGCCATCTTAAAAACATAAATTAGGACCATACATTTCGTAGATGATTTATCTACGTATTTCGAAATGGCATCATACTTATTATAAAACCCAGGTTGTGTGTGTGTGTGTGACTGTTCGTTTATATATTGGATCGGATTTCCTACATTTTTCAACCGATTTCAACAAAACTTCACAGGACTACGTAAAATTACCTTGCGGTGGTTCTGACACGCGAAAAAATTGGAAAAAACACAATTGTTTTTGAACGAAATCAATTTGAAAACACGATTAAGAGGCACCGCTGTCGCAAGAATGAAAGGGGGACAACTGATATCGAGTTATACTTAATATAAAACCCAGGTTGTTTGTGTGTGTGTGTGTGTGTGTGTGTTCGTTTATATATGGGATCGGATTTCCTACATTTTTCAACCGATTTCAACAAAACTTCACTTTTTTTTGGCAGGTAGTGTTTCTTATTGTCTTGCACACTTTTTTCTTTATTTTTACATTCAGAATGCTTTAAAAATTCCATTTACAAGACAATTGTTTATAATAAAATTCTATTCAATCGGTAGACTCATAACGATTGAAAATAATGTTTTTGTTTGAGTTTGGGTTTGACCAATTCGTAAAAAAAGCAAAAAAAAAAACAAAAAACAAAACAAAACAAAAAAAACTAATTAAGACATGTGTGTCCGTCAACCTTAAACAATAATCTTTGTCAATTTTATTTTTCAGTCTTTATGATGGTCGATACTGGATCTATCTCTTACGTTACATCCCCGGGCAACGCCGGGCTCTACTGCTAGTTAGTGATAATAAAAAAAAAACTTTCTTTTCTTTTTATGCGCCTTTCAGGATGTAGGCGATCATGGCTCTTCATCTTTCTCAATCACTTGCAGCTCTCAATAAGTTCCTTCCATCTGCTATCTCCCCCAGACGACGTTCTGTCATCTACCTGCAAAAGCCCGCCAGAAATGCCACGCGCTGCTTTCTCTTGTCTCTCTTTCCCTCTATTCGATTTGTGAGTATCAGATTCTCCAAGCCCTCCTTTCTCATTATGTGTCCCAGAAACTTCAGCTTCCTCTTCCTGATGTTAAGCATAAGCCTCATTCTTGTTAGCATCCTCTCTAAGACCTCATCGTTGCTCACACGTTCGGTCCATGATATCCTTAGTATCCTTCTGTAGAACTACATTTCCGTCGCCTCGAGTCTCTCCTTCATCCTTGAGGAAATCGTCCAGCATTCGCTGCCGTAAAGAAGGACAGATGTCACGTAACAGCTCAGTATTCTTTTTTTTTCGTTACCAAAGAAATCCTCCTGTCTCTCATTACTCTGTCTAGCTTTTGAAATGTGTCCTTGACCATCCCAATACGTCTACGGATCTTAGTGTCGCACTTACCGTCCTCTGTCAAAACGCTTCCTAGATATTTAAACTTCCGCGTCTGCTTTATTCAAGTGTTCTCGACCTGCAGATCACATTTCGTGCTCATCCTCTTACTGATAAGGAAGACAGATATACACCATTTGAAGGGCTGATGCAACACAATCTTCTTAAATTATATTTAACCAAGTGTCGCTCTAAGCTCATTAATATAAATTAAAAGATAAATAAGCCAACCTCATCTTTTTTTTTTATCTTTCCTGTATGGCAGAGAATGCTGGAAAATCTCAAAGATGAAGAAGAGACTTGAAGCAACAGAATTGTGGTTCTACAGAAAGATGCTGAGGAAACCATAAGCTAAACATGTGAGCAACAACGAGGTTTTGGAGAGAATTGAAACAAAAAGGAAACTTATATTTAACATCAGGAAGAGGCAGTTGAAATTTCTCGGCCATGTAATGAGGCAGAAGGGCTTGGGAATTCTGATACTCGCAGGGAAGACTGAGGGAAAAAAGGACAAAGGAAAGCAGAGCGTAACATACTTGATGGGTTTGAGCAAAAGGGTGGCAGAACAGGTTTTGGAAGAAATAACTGTTGTAACTTATGAAAGGTTACTGATTAAAATTATCACACGAAGGTTGGTAATGGACGATAATACTTAGGACAAGAACAACACATATAAGATTCGCCAGCGTTGCGTAGTAATAGTCATCTGCTAGAAGTGAGTCAAGTGAATTCCACATTAAATCTCCAACTTCAGGACATCTACCAACCGCCCCACGCGGTCAGATGTGGCACAAGGCCGAATTTAATGTTGGGGCATCGGATCCCTTAGTTTCGGCCAAAAATTCCCCATATACCCCGTATAAAACGGTGTCGGGTAGCTGTTTCCCGAAACGAGGCTCTGTCCTTCGACATAGTCTCGTCTGGGGATCCTCTCTGTTCGGAAACAAAGTTTGACCAGCACATCTGGAGACGAATATCCGACTGCAGACCAACATACAGTATTTACTACTGTATCTATGTAGATGGGGACATACCCATTATCGTCTGTAGGTATGCTACAACATTAACAAAAAGACAAAATTTATTAAGAGTTACAAGTGAAAGGAAGACGTGGAGGGCTATGATTGCCTAAAGTGTTTAGTTCGAAATTCCCTGAAACTTACCCAAATCAACATTGCACCTGAAAAGGCATGAGAGCACAACAGCCAATATGTTTTGATAACAACTAGAAAGATGAGGATAATAATCCGATTGTAAATAATGTAAATAGATCAGTGCTAATTTCCAAATTGAAGAACGAAAACAAATTCCTTCTCTTCCAGCTAAAACCAACTATAAATAACCTAATGCATGAGCTCTAAAAAAATGGCCATTGGTTTATCTACAGAGCATGGCCTGAAAGTCACTTAAGGCATGAAAGTGATAGTAACCTTGCAGTGTTGATTTCTATTCTCTCTCTCACTTGCTCACTCTTTCTCATAGGAATAACAAACATAATGTGAAGTAAAAAATGCTGTCAGTCAGTGGAATACTGAGAGAAAAAATATTTAAGGCAAACAGTACTTACAATAAAGTACTCAGTATCAGAGAAAGATCATTAATAGAGTTAATGCAAATATAAAATTTGCCACTTTGCTGATTTGTGTTACCTTCAGAATCCCGGCTTTAGAGTTTCATAGATAGACCCTTCAGCTATCACTCCAACCTCTCGTCAGGGGATATCATGGAATTTGTGATATATAACATACTTGTAATGCCGTTCATGTTAAACCAGAGTATATTATTTCACTACCTAACACAGAAATGACCTCAAGACCACCAGATAGCAACAGCAGAATATCCACTATGCCATTGTCCCAAAGAATGATTTCTCTTTATTGAAAAGAATTTTATATCATAAAAGTTCATAAAACATGAGAAAAATGTCTAGCAAAATCTTTTTTTTATTTTATTGTTTTTGATTTTACAGATGAAGGATACTTAAACAATTTATTCAAACTGCTATTTTCTCTTGATGATTATAGCTGTTATTACACACACTATGTTTCGACTGAGTACCCTCTAGCCATCATCAGATATCCAATATTTAGTGCTGGTATGAGATATTTTAAACGTATTGGTTATGGTGATATTTTGTTCCTGTAATGTCATTCACGTTAAACCAGAGTATATTTTTTACTACCTAACCCAGAAATGACCTCATGACCACCAGATAGCAACGGCAGAATATCCACCATGCCACTGTTCCAAAGAATATTCTTGTTATCACAGCAGATTTGTTCTGCTTGATTCCTGGTTCAACAGAAACAAACAAGAAATGACAACCTCGGGACAAAAATATAAAACAACAATCAACATAAATATATCCCATATAGGTCACTTAAAGATGGACAGAGTTTACTTAATCGAAACCTTTTATCTATAATAACAGCTATAATGATCATGATCATGAGCCAAGGAAACTTGATAGTTACATCTAGATATTTTGGGAACACCCTTAATTGAAAACCTTCGAAGAAGACTAGGATACCCGATCTGAAGTTATTTCAAATTGAGACCCACTGCAAGGTTATGCAATGCTTTTATTAAAAACTGTCATCATATTGTGCACATTTGGCTGTGATGCATGTACCTGGTATATACTTGTAAATCTGTGTAGCATGATGAAGATATTGAGTTTCATATAGTTGTACATTAGTGACCCATTGTTGACGTGCAACTCTCTGACACAATAATAATAATGATGTGTTATTAACATAAATTTAAAACTTTATTTAAATATTTGTTCTATGCTAGTGGCTATAAGTAAAGCAGAGAAGAATGAAATGAAATTATGATTGTCCGAGTCTCAAGATGCATAAATCAATGCATTTTCACAAATTCTCAGTTTTCTGAATAACAAAAGTATTATGTGAACAAACAAGTCATTATTTAGATAGACAGGTATATAGATGGATAGATAAGAAACAAACAGAGAGATAAATAATGAACAAAATGAGATAGAGAGATAGATAGATAGATAATAACTCAGATAAGCAAATTGAGATATATAGATAAATATTGAACAAACTGAGAGGGATAGATAATAAACAAACTGAGATAGATAGATAGATAGATAGATAGATAGATAGATAGATAGATAGATAGATAGAAAATGAACAAACTGAGATATATAGATAGATAAATAGATAATGAACAAACTGAGATATATAGATAGACAGATAGATAATGAACAGACTGAGATAGATAGATAGATAGATAGATAGATAGATAGATAGATAGATAGATAAAGCAACAGTGATAGATAATTATATAATGAACAAACTGAGATAGATAATGAACAAACTGTATGTATAGATTGATTGATAGATATATAATGAACAAAATATGATAGACAGGCAGATGGATAATTAACAAACCAAGATAGGTAGATTGATAAATAATACCAAATCTGAGATAGATAATGAACATACTGAGATCGATAGATAGATATATAATGAACAAACTGAGAGAGATATTGAACTGAGATAGATAGAGAGATAGGTAATGAACAAACTGACATTTATAGATTGATAGACATATAATGATAGATAAGTAGAACAAACTGAGGTAGATAATGAACAGAATGAGATAGCTTGATAGATAATGAAAAAACTGAGATAGATTGATAGATAAAGAACAAACTGAGATAGATATACAATGAAAAACTGAGACAGATACATGGATAATGAACAAACTTTGATAGGTTGAGAGATAGATAATGAACAAACTGAGATTGATAGATATATCAATAGATAACAAATATATTTAATGAAGAAACTGTGATAGATAATATTCAGACTGAGATAGATATATATATATATATATATATATATATATATATATATAGATAGATAGATAGATAGATAGATAGATAGATAGATAATGAAGAAACTGACATTGATAGATAGATAGATCAATAGATAATAAACAAACTGAGATATGTAGATAGCTACATAGATAATGAAGAAACTGAAAAATAGAAAAATATATAATGAACATAGATAGATAGATAGATAGATAGATAGATAGATAGATAATGAAAAAACTCTGATAGGTAGTCAGAGAGACAATGAACAAACTGAAACAGATAGAGATGTAAGGCACAAAACTTAAACAGATATATAACAAACAAACTGAGATTGATAGATGTATCGATAGATAATTAAGATAGATATTTAATGAACAGAAATAGATAGATAGATAGATAGATAGATAGATAGATGGATAATGATAAGACTGAGATAGAAAGATATTGAACAAACTGAGAGAGATAGATAATAAAAAAAATGACATAGATTTATGATTTATAGATATATCATAGATAGGTAGATAGATAAAGAACAAACTGAGATAGATAATAATGAAAAATCCGAGAGAGAATAATAGATAAAGAACTGAGATAGATATATAATGAACAAACTGAAATAGATAATGAACAAACTGATATCATTGATATATAGATAATAAACAAATTGTGACATATATAGATTGATATATAGACATATAATCATAGATAGGTTTTAAATAGATAAACAACAAACTTAGGTGGATAATGAACAAACTGAGGTAGACAGCTAGATTGATAATGAAAGAAAGTGAGATAGAGTGATAGATAAAAAACAAACTGAGATAGATAATGAACCAACTGAAACAGATATGTAATGAATAAATTGACACAGATAGATATATAATGAATAAACTGAGATTGATAGATATATCGATAGATAATAATGATAGATATTTAATGAACAAATTGAGATAGATAGATAGATAGATAGATAGATAGATAGATAGATAGATAGATAGATAGATAATGTTTTGGCTGAGATAGATAGGTAATGAATAAATGATAGATAATAAACAAACTGAGATAGATAGGTTGATAGATAAAGAACAAATTGAGGTAGATAATGAACAAACTGAGATAGGTAGATAGCTAGGTAGACATTGAATGAACTGAGATTAATATATGATGAACAGAGATATATAAATAGTTAATGAACAAACTGAGAGATAATAATCAAACTGAGATTGATAGAAAATGAACAAACTGGGATCAACAGATATATATTGAACAAACTGAGATAGGTAGATAAATATATAGATAATTAAAAAAACTGGGATAGGTAGATACATAGGTAGATAATGAACAAATTGAGACTAACAGATAGATGTGGTGATAGATAATGAAGATAGATATAAATGAACAAACTGAGATAGATAGATAGATAGATAGATAGATAGATAGATAGATAGATAGATAGATAGATAGATAGATAATGTTCAGACTGAGATAAACAGTAGACAGTTTATAAACAAACTGAGATATATAGGTTGATAGATAAAGAACAAACTGGGGTAGATAATGAACAAACTGAGATAGATAATGAATGAATGAACTGAGACAGATATATATATTATGAACAAACTGAGATTGACAGAGAAATATATCAAGAGATAATGAAGAGAGATATTTAATGAACAATCTTAGATAGATAGATAGATAGATAGATAGATAGATAGATAGATAGATAGATAGATAGATAAACAGACAGATAAATAGATAATGAACAAATTGAAATAGGTAGTTAGTTATGTGCCATGGGTGATACATCCTTAGGTGATCGATGTATCTTTCGATACATGACTGATGAGGCAGATTTTTAGGTTACCATTTCTTTCTGCGGTAGACCAGTTGCCATCCAAATCTATAGAACTTGGTCTGTCCTGCTATTTACCCATAGCTGGGGAGGGGAGAGAAGAAGAGGATTTCCCATGGGTATTAGCATGTAAGTGAATGCAATGAATCTGAATAGAATTTAAACTCAGCTCTGATTCTTCAATCAGGGCTGCTATCCATTACTCTACCATGCCTATATACAGACATATATATATAATGAACAAACTGAGATTGATAGATTAATAGATAATGAAAAAAATGAGATTGATAGATAATGAACAAATTTACATAAATAGATATATTGATAGATAGATAGAGAGATAGATAATGAACAAACTAACATTTATAGATTGATAGATAGACATATAATGAAGAAACTGTGATAGGTAAATAGATAAAGAACAAACTGACATAATGAACAAACCGAGATAAATAGATAGATAATGAAAAATCTGAGATCGACAGATAGATATATAATGAACAGTGATAGGTATATAATGAACAAACTGGGATAGATAGATAGATAGATAGATAGATAGATAGATAGATAGATAGATAGATAGATAGATAGATAATGCACAAACCGAGATAGATAGGTAGATAATGAGCAAACTATGATAGGTAGATAGATAGATAGATATTGAACAAACTGAAACAGATAGATAATGAACAAACTGAGATTGATAGATAGATATATTGATAGATAATTAAGGTAATTTAATGAACAGAGATATAAAGATAAATAATGATCAAACTGAGCTAGATAGATAGACAGATAACAAATAAACTTAGATAATCTCCAAACTGAGATAGTTGATGAACAAACTGAGAAATATAAATAGATAGATAGAAAGATAGATAGATAATGAACAAACTGAGATAGATTATATATATAATAAAGAAACTGAAATGGATAGATAATGAAGAAATTGAGATAGATAATGAAAAATCAGACAGACATATAATGAACAAAGTGATATTGATAGATAGATAATTAACAATCTGAGAGATGGGAGGTAAATATTAAACAAACAGATAGGTAGATGCATAATAAACAAACTGCGATAGATAGACATATAATGAACCAACTGATATTGATAGATAGATATATAGATAGATATTTAATGAACAATCTGAGATAGATTGATAGATAATGAACAGACTGAAATACACATATATAAGAAACTGAGATACATAGATTGATAGATAATGATCAAACTGAGATAGATAGATAGATAGATAGATAGATAGATAGATAGAGATCTAGATAATGAACAATCAGAGATAGATATTTACATAGATATATAATGAACAAATGAGAAATAGATAAACGATGAATAAATTGATAGATAATAGATAAACGATGATTGATTGATAGATATATAGACAGACAGGTAATGAACAAATTGAGATAGATAGGTAGAGAGATAGATATTGAATTGAGATATATAGATAGATAATGAACTAACTGGAATAGACAGGTATGAAGAAACTTAGATTGATAATGCACAATCTGAGATAGATCAAAATGTGCTTGTGTGTGTGTGTGTGTGTGTGCATGTGCGTGTGTCATAGCCTCATCTTCTATGTGCCGTGTTCCTTCATGGCTACCCATAAATTTCAATCGTTTGTACCTTTTAGTAATGTTTGTCTTTTTACCACAGCCTGCCCACTGGCATCCAATGACACAAGCTTCTCAGGTAGTTAGCCTACTGCCTTCTGTTCCTTTTGATATAGATATGCCCAGTGAATGTCAGATTCTTCAAGCCCTTCATCCTCGTTATGTGACAAAGAAATGTCTCTTTCTGATTCTGCATAGAAGCATCTTTTATTAAGTCATTACATCATATCGTTCACATTTGGCTGTGATGCATGTACCTTATATACTCTTATCAAACTGGGTGTCATGATATATACCTTTGAGCATTGTATATTTGTATCACATCACAGCGTTACTTTCTTGGCGTGCTGCTCTTCACCTCAACAATAAGAACAACAACTACAATTATTATCTGTCTATTTCTGAGATGAGGTATTATGTACACTATTTACATTATTCGGACTATTGTCCTCATCTTTGTCACCATATTTATTACAACTCTTTGGCCATTGTACGCTCCGGCCTTCTTCAGGTGGTTGGAATGTCGAACTGAACCCTTTATTTCGCTCACTGGGGTAGACTGTTCTAGTTCCACGTGCCATGTTTAATGGATGTCAGTTTTCAGTTATCTCCTGTTAATTCACTTCTCTAAGTTCTCCACCGCCTTAACCAGGTATTGAACTCACACTCTTTGGGTCCTGTCACTGTATCTGACTAACGCCTTTATCCACTAGTTAGTTAGATCAGTGAAAGTTAAGTAAAAATGTTTTACTGTAAATGATGAGATTCAAATCAAGCAAATGGTAGAACTGACATGTTGAGAGGAAGGCCGAATTGCCCAAACTGTGGAAAATTATTCCAAACTTTTTAAAGAGTAGAAATCAGAAACTATTTTCTGGTTAACTCTGGAACCGCTTTTTTTTTCTTTTTCTTTCTTGCCAATTTTTGACAGCATCTTTTTTTAATGACACCTTTAGGAAATATCTGAACGTCATTTTTCGATAACAATTCAAAATCGTATCTTGTAAGGGAAACAGGGCGGCACGGAAAGCGCTCGTTTATTTTTTTCTTCCTTATAATTTCACAATAGTCTTTATTTATAATTCTATCTCATTGCATTCTTATCTTTTCCCCCTGATCACCGTAAGTGTTCATTTTCTTTTCCAGCCGTGTTGTAGCATCGAACGCGTTCCAAATCTTTGCTTTCAGCAATCGAAAATTTCTCTTCAGATGAGTGATTGGCTTATCTTATGATTTGTTATAGCGAGAGGACGGCCTTAACTAGTGGCTTCATTTCTGAGATTGATAATGATTGGTTGCTGGAGTTTCTAAGGCTAACTATGACATCACTCTCTCATTATTCGACGCGAGTAAGCGTATACAAATCCTTATCGATGAGACTTTTTTTCTTTTTAGATATCGTTTATTTTCTCTCTCTCTCTCTCTTTCTTTCTCTCACTATCATTAGTTATTTTCTCTTTTTCTCCTGTAAAGTTTCATTTACATCTTTTCTCTCTTTTCCAAATATTACTTCTTCAGTTTCTCCCTCTTAAAGCTCATTCCCTCTTCGTCTCTTACGAAAGTTCCTTCTCCCTACACATTTGAAAATCTTTTTCTCGATATTTACTTAACTCAAATTAGTACGGCACAAAGCTATATGTGTGGTGCATCAAGTGAACACGGGATCTTATTACAAACATAATAGCCTACGAGGTAAACGAGATGTAGATGAATCTTTCTTCTATGTGCCGCTTCCCTTCAATCATGGCTCTCTACAACTTCATATCTTGTGTGACTCTTAGTTTTTTTCCATTTGCTAAGGTCCTCCGCCCCACAGATCCGCCATCCATTCACTCAAGTTTGTCAGGTAAATGGTTCACTGCCTTCTCTGTCTCACCCTCATGAGCGTTAAGTTTTTTTTTTATCAAGCCCTCCTTTCTCATTATGTGTTCATGGAATTTCAGCTGTCTTTTCCTGATTTCGAGTAGTGTTCTTTCTGTTGCCAATTATTTAAAATTTCCTTGTTTTTTATGGAATTTTCAGTATCCTTCTTAAAGCCACATTTCTGCTCCCTGTAATATTTTTACTCACCCCCGTGGAAATTTGTATAATATTCACTGCCATATAATAGGATGAATTGATTTGAATCCAAATTTTTTTTTGTTTGGAATATGAAATGATTCCGTTTCCCAGTACCTTTTTTTTAAGGAATTTTGGAATGTTTCAGGTAATTTTATAAAACTCATTAACATTATTCGGACCCAAAATAAAATCTTTGTCGCCACATCTATTACAACATTTCGTTTGTTGTACGCTCCATTAAATTTAGGTCTTTTGGAATATTCGACCCTGAATTCTTTATTTTCATAGATTGAACTTTTTATTAGAATTTGCCATGTTTAATGGATCATAAAAGTTTTCAGTTTATCTTATAGTAGAAATCCCTTTTAAAGTTTTCTTACATTTTTTAACCAGGTATTGAACTTGTTTTTCTTTGATTTTTTGTCACTGGATCTAATCTTGTTCTTTTCCACTGTAAATTTATCCTGATGTGTGGCGTTGGTTGAAATCTTATTGACAGGACCAAAAATGAAATTTTCAAAAACGCAGTTTAAGACAGTGGAGAACTTGAGAGGGAATTAACAGGAGATAACTGATAACTGACATCCATTAAACATGGCGCGTGAACTAGAATGTCTACCCCAGTGAGCGAAAAAGATTCAGTTCGACATTCCAGATTATCTGAAGAAGCCCGGGAATAAAACGACCTGAAACGTTGTAATAAATATGGCGACAAAGATGAGGACAATAGTCTGAATAATGTAAATAGTGTACATAATACCTCATCTCAGAAATATAGACAGATGCTCCATTCGATATTCCAATGCGTGTTCGGATCTTGGTGTTGCTTTTGCTATCCTCTGTTAAAACGTCTCCCAGATATTTGAACTTCTGCATCTGCTTGATGTTTATATCTCCAATTTGGAACTTTCACCTTGGGCATTCTCTTTTGTTGATGACCATACTTTCTGTCTTCTTAACGTTGATGGTTAGAATGATTTAGATAGAATCGATTCTTTGTATTTATTAAACTCGACTCAAAAGACGAAGGCTTGCATTACGTTAGTTTTCTAAGTGGGGAGGAAATGTGTGCCTTCTTAGAAAAATCAGCGTTTTAAAGTTTAGCCTTTATTTAGACTCAAGTCTCTCAGCCATGAAACAAAAATGTCAGTAACTGTATTTTTCTATTTATTTCTTTATCCGTTATATCTCCTTCCTCTTTATTTTCTTTGTCTATTTTCTTTCTTTTCTTTAAATTAAAAAAAATCTATATCCTTCTCAATCGAATAAGTTTCTTCTTTTCCCCAATATCTTTTTCATTTGTTTTTTTTAACCGGTATCAACCCATGTAAGGCGGTAAAGCCACTAAGACACAAGGGGTTGCAGGGTGTGGAAGAATTAGGAACAGAAACATTAATAATGAGCGGGAAGAGGAAACAGTAAGCTGGAAGAGAGTAGATAGCGATTGACATTGCAGTTAGATTTTTGCAGATTAAAGTTGGCTGGAAAGCATGGAGCCAGAAGGGAGATCCACAAACGAGAAGTGCGAGAAAAGAAACTGTTACCATAGAACTTACGACAATATCTAGCCAGCTCAACTGTAAATTGATGAGATCTTGACACTAGTCGAGTACTACACTTAGATTCAAAAAGTCTAGGTACCATAGCAAAGAGCTGATTCGAACAATTGCCATGAAAATATTTATAGAAAAGACACAGAGCGGCAACCTTACAATGGTGGAAAAGTGATTGAAGCCTAGCCATCAATAATATTGCTGATTTTCTTTGGATTTTATCAAGGAGCTCAACGTAAATAGCAGTTATTTTTACACTAAGTTTCACCCTGTACAAGGCCCAAGGACCACTCAAGGTAGAGGGTTACGTTAAGATGTATTTTATACTGATAGGGCGGGAAGATAACGGTTAACTCTAGTCTTGAACAGGTTAAGATCGTTGTGATCGGAGAAACATTCTATTTGGGAGTCTGTTCTACGGTTCACGGGAAGAAGCCGTTCGAATACGGAGTGGTTTGCTGAGATGTAAGTGGTATGGTGGGTCCTAGTCGTGAAGGTTAGACCTGATGGAACAAAGGGATCTAGTTCGTTCGAGCACTTTGCATGGAGTCGTGAGAGGCTCACCACATCCCGCTCGTGTGTGTGTGTGTGTGTGACAGAGAGAGAGAGAGAGAGAGAGAGAGAGAGAGAGAGAGAGAGGTTGGCGTGTGGAAACCCACAAAGACTCTGAGGCGCTTTTGAACTCTATCAAGACTGGAAAGTTAAGACTGGACATCCCCGTACAAACAGTACTCCACTTTCGGCCTGATCTGGTTCTAGTAAAGGTAGAGGATAGCAGGAGGAGTCAGGTACTTGTTGTATTTCACTTTTTGTGAAGCCATTTATTGCTACCTCCAAGCATTTTTTTTTTTTTTTTACTATCTTCACTTTAGTACAAATATCTTGCTGTCACCATACTATCCATTTCCAGGTCATTTTTCTCTTTCTTTTCTTTGATGAAACTCACGTAGCTGGAAGAAAGAAAGGCGAAATAGAAAGAGAAAAGGCCGACAAGTGGAGAGCAAGAAAAAAGTAAAAAAACGTATGTGAGAGAGAAAGCAGAAATAGTCTGTCTAACGTCCAACATCTATTTATTACTTTCTATTTCTCTTTCACATACGTCTTTATTTTCTCCACCATTTGTTTTCTTTCTTTCTTTCTTTCTTTCTTTCTTTCTTTCTTTCTTTCTTTCTTTCTTTCTTTCTTTCTTCTCCATCTCTTTCTTCGCCATCTCTTTCTTTCTTTCTTCTCCATCTCTTTCTTTCTTTCTTTCTTTCTTTCTTTCTTTCTTTCTTTTTTTTTTTTTTCTTTCTTTCTTTTTCGCCATCTCTATTTTCCATTCTTTCTTTCTTTCTTTCTTTCTTTCTTTCTTTCTTTCTTTCTTTCTTCTCCATCTCTTTCTTTCTTTCTTTCTTTCTTTTTTTCTTTCTTTCTTTCTTTCTTTCTTTCTTTCTTTCTTAATCACCCACAATGCCGCGAAGACGCTTTTAGACGCTATTAAAAGTAAAAAGATAACTGGGCAGCATCGAACTTTTTTATGTTGTAATTTCTTAGTGTTTTTTTTCCTTTGGCGCAACCATCTTTTCTCTTTAAGTTCTCTTTCTGCCATTCTTTCTATAGATTAATCACGATTGTTATACTCTCTCTTGTGGAAGCTAATATACTCTCTTCTCTCTTTCTCATTAATCTCATATCATAATTCTGTCTGTCCCTTTGTTAGTTAGCAAGTTAGTTAATTACTCCCTACCATTGTCTCAGATAAATAATAAACCATTCCGTTTTGATTGTAAGAAAAGATGAGGGAAAATATATTTCAGAGGCACAGTTTGATTTTTATGAGAAAAAGAAAGTATACATAGTAATAAAATGAAAGACTGGTCGCGCTAGAGAAGGTGATAATGTTTTCATAGGTTTAACGTCTGCTTCAGTGAAATGAAAAACCTTGGCAATTTTGAATGTTTTCATTTTTACCCTTTTACTTTTTTTAAATTATGACCTGCATTCATACTTACGATTGTTACCGTAATATTTTATTAAAGTTGTTAAGCGCAAATATTTAACGTAAGGATCTTATTCAACCATTTAAGTAAGAATTTCAATTGATCAAATAGGAAAACCACGAAAGTTTTCACGGTTACAGCAACTAAGCATGAATCTGTTTCCTAAATAACCACAGAATGTGCTACGGGTAGTTTTTCCCAATACCACAAGATGCTACAAAACCAAAATATTAACCTAAGAGCTTGAATCTTGATCCAGTATATTGAATACATTTTTAGCGCGTAAGTTACGCCCTGCTATTGCCACAAATAATAAAAATGGTTCAATCCTGTTTGACTGCGAGGATAAACGGAAGAAAAGATATTTCAAAGGCGATGTTTGGTTTTAGGAAAGAAAAGAAAGAAAGAAAAGGAAGATAGTGGAAGTGATAACAAAATCATGCGATTAAAGTCTGCTACAATTTTGAATATTTTTCATTTGCACCCTCTTGCTTTTTTTAAATAATGACCTACATTCATACATATGATTGCTATTTCAGTATTTGTAAAAGTTAAGGTCAAATATTTAACGATGTAATGGGGGGGATTTCTACCATTATTTTTATAGTCGTTGAACTAGAAAGAATCTTTATTCAATCATGAAATTAAGAATTATGATTGATCAGAAAATTCAAATCGGAAAACTGAAATTTTCACGAGTTCTGCTTGTATTTAGTGTTTAAATTTTTTTTTACTCGAATCCAACTTTTATAGCTATTGATATCTAACGTAATATTTATTATAACGTACCAAATAAAGATCTAACTCATTACAGTAGCAATACACTGATAGACTAGCTTATTCATTTGGACTAATGTCCTCACCTTTGTTGTTATCATAATTTTTCGGTCGTTGTGCCTTCCGGTCTTTAGATCTCTTTCAATCTGAACAACCTTCAGGAAATTTCAAACTGAACCATTTATTTAATCTATGGGGCTGTCCATATCTTGGGGTATCTCGTCTTGTTCTCATTCTATCTCCACTGAGTCAAAGGGTATTGACTATGTAATCAATTCACGAAACAATGCAATCCACTAGAATATTTCTTGTACTAAAAGAATAAGGCGGCATATCTCTAGACATAGACAGTGGGACGAGAAAAAAAATCTAAACTGGTAGATTAAATAATGGTTTCAAGTCAAAATTTCCTGAAGATTACCTGTATCGATTGATACCTGATGAAAGTCGGTAGACCCAACAGCCGAAACGTTAAAAGAATCATGGAGAATCGATGAGTAACCTAGTTAATGAATTTGAAGGATTAGCCAATTCCTTATAAGGAAACATTCGGTATTCATTAACCGAAGACCAAGTCGATTGAAATTTATAACATTTCTCTATTAAAACAAATTCTCAAGGAAATATGTTTCTCAAATCCGCTAAATGTTATCAGTATTTCCACTATTCCTTTCTAAGCTTTTATTTGGGGCAGTGTAGAATATCAGCATCTTGATTGTCATTATTCCCGTTTCTTGTTAAATACGTTATTCATTTTAGTCGTTGCCACTGTTGAAAGGCCACAAGAGATGGGTTTTCTGTTATTTGGTACAGTTCTTTATTCCGCGATTGAGTAGCACCAGTCTATTAGATTCGAAAAACTGTGGCCATCTCTACAAGGTTCATTCACTCGAAGCCAATTTAATCAGTGATCTGTAAAAGTGGTTGTATACAATTGAGACATTTCTGAACGTTTTTTTTTCTTCTTTTGTCTTAGTTTTGTAGCCACTTGTGGCGTTGGGCGAAACTTTCCCCATTGCAGCCTATTCTATGTTCAGTTTCTTTATCTCATACTAAATTTTTCATAACTGATCCGTACATCGAAGAATTTGAAATGTTTAGTGTTTATTAATTTCACTTGCTGAATTTTTATGACGGATTCAGGATATGTGCCACCACAGCTTTCATTTTAATTTCAGATCATAATTTCTGATTTCGAAAGGTTTATCTTGAGTCCTGTTTATTGGTGGTGTATATTGATGTTTCTTTATGAATCGATGAAAAAATAGGGGTAAAAAGGATGGTAAAATGTATAAATGCACAAAAAAGAGAGAAAGTTGTGGAGAGCTATACCCTGGAAGAATTTTACACATAGAATAAGATAATGTGGATTGCGTAGCTCTTATTTCTGTTTGCATTTCCGCCATGAAGAGATATCAGTATTTACACGCGGACTATTATCTTCATCTTGTTATCAAAGCGTTTCGGTCGTTGTGTCCTTCGACTTTCGTCAAGTGTATGTGGGTAACCTACAGGGAATTCAGGACAGAACCCTTCATTTAGTCTGTGAGGATAGATTGTTCTAGTTACATTACCCGTGTCTCAGGATATCTTGTCTTGTTCTTATTTTTTGTACCGCTCAATTATTGCTCGGTCCAAATACACAACGCCCGACCCAGGGTGTGAACTCACAATTACTATGTCACAAAATTCACGCTTCAATCTACTAGGGCAGGCGCATCAACATACGCTTGATGAAGGCCGGAGTGCACAATGACCGAAACGTTAAAAGAATCATGGAGAAGTGGTATGTAACCTAATTAATGAGTATTGAATAATATTAGTGGTAATATTAACTGATTCTTTTATAAGAAAATATTCGGCATTTGTTAACCGAACAGACTCGTGCCGCTGATTGAAGTGTATAACATCTTTCTATTAAAACAATTTCGCAAGGAAAATAGATTTCTCAAATCCATTAGTGACTATCGTTCTTTTCGCTATTGATCCGGGTTTCCTTCCTAACCTTTTGTTTGATGTCGTGTGGAATGTCAAAATTTTGATTATGTCATTATTTTCTCTTCTAGGTTTGGTTTGTTTTGTTTTACGGCATGTCAACCTCAATGGGTTATTTAATGCCGACAAGAATTTTATTGCTGGTAATATTTCTTTTTCCAAAAATGTATTGTTGGTAATAATTATTTACAAAAATGTATTGCTGGTAATAGCTTGCTTTTTTCGTCAAAAATGTATTTCTGGTAATATTTTTTCCTTCAAAAATGTATTGCTGGTAATAATTTTTCCTCAAAAAATTTATTAAAACCTATTTTTACACTTTCATAGTGTTCTGACCCCAGTTTAGGGGTTAACTATTTGCCCATAGCTGGGACTCTAACAGATGCTACCACTCCGGATCAGGGTGGACCTAGGAACACCAGCAATTAAGAGGTGGTTCCACACTCTTCAAGACCTCCCGATCAGAGGCCTTGCTGTCGGATGTAGTTTATCGTCTTACCCAGGACGCATTTTCTCTCCTAGTTACATATACTATCTATTTTATTTGATGTTGCTTTTGAAATTCCCCAAGAGGTGTGGTCTCTCTTATTTGTTACAGTTATTTGTTCGAGATTCAATAACACCAGTCTACGAGATTCGTTAAAGTATGGTCATCTTCATTCGCCCGAACCGTTGTGATAACAACAACAAAGATGAGGATAATGGTCCACAGGTAAATAATGCAAATAACGTAGCTTTTATTATAAAAAGCAGCCTAAAACCTGCGGTGGCGAGCGGAAGTAGGTGCATTATTTTGGGTTGTCTTTTGACAGCAAAACTAAGATCACTGACCGACGGCACAAAAACAAATGGTAACAGATAATCATGTTACACCGATTATTTAACTGAGCAGAGGCTTGCCTTGAAAATTGAGATTCTTTCTTTTTACTTAAGTAAGGAAGCTGACCATTAGCGCCATCATTAAAAACGCAAGTATCTAACTCACAAAACAAAAATACATTAATTGTAATTATCTGTTTATTTATTTACCCGTTGAATATTGCCTGTTTTTCTTTTCTTTGGATTTTAAACCTCTCTCAATCGAATAAGCTTTTATTCCCCAATATTCTTTGCAATTCACTTTCTTGCTTGGTCCTTCCTTTTTACCCTTAAGCCCTATTCCTCTTCTTTCACTTCAATACAATATCATCATTTCTCCTATTTTCAGTTTTTTTCTTGGGTCCATTTTTCTTCCTTTCATGCTTTTTTTCCCATCATGCAACTCTAATGTTTCTCCCTCAAACTTTGCCGCCTTCCTCACTTTGCTCTCACTTTC